GAATCCTCAATCATGTCAAAAGGCATCTGGTTAGGAAACGCCTCAACCATGACTTTATGCGCACGCCGAAGCTCCACAGTTGTATGATCATACCTCTCAGCTAAAGCACGATAAGCTCTGTATAGCTCTTCCACCAGTTGCATGAGCTCTGGACGTTTCTTGAAGTACATGTCTGCCCTTCTTGCAAACGAATCTGCATCAGCTTCGATGAGCTTTATCATTGTCTTGACTTTGGAATCCATATCTGGTTCAACAGAGACAAATATTTCCTGTTAAATTTAATTTTCAAAAGAAACAAAATCTATATATAAACATATAAATCAAAAGCAATATAACCCCTCAGTTTCCAAGACTCATAAAAGACACCAAGGAGAATTCAAGAAGATATATAGGAGACCTGAAAGATTATCCTGAATCCATTTAGAGTTTTTAGGAATGTGACTATCCCACCACCACGAGTACAACCTCCCGGATTCTGACTGCGACGGATTGGCCATAACAGCAGCTGCAAGAAGCTCAAAGAACAATTTTGGTCCTTTTTTGAGCAAGAAACTGCTTGATCCCTTTGATCCCTCTACTAGAGTTCTAGAAACTAATAATTCTACAAAACTGAAACAAAGCAAGTGTGTCAACAATCACAGTAAGTTACATCAGATTGTTTTCTTATTGTAAACAAACCTTTGCACTGTGGATTTTATCAAATGCTGGATATCACTTTGGTGTCCTTATATGTAAGAAAGATAAAAGCTGGATCTTCCTGAACCCAAAAAAACAGCAATTTTCAGAGAGACAACTTCAGAATTATCTTCAAATAAGACATAGACAAAGATACAAACATGAGTAAGCTTCATTACATAGTTAATAACAAAACACAATCAAAATATTGAGAGAAAAGGAAAAAAGCTAGTCTCTTTTTATGGAATTGAGTTGGTAGAAAGAAATTGGAAACTGCAGACTTCAGGAAAATGTATCATAGAGAGACAGATACTTCATCACCCACCAATAATAGAGACAGCAAATAACAATTCTTCGTCAAACTTTGGGAACAAAACTAATCAATACACAAACAAGGCTAAAAATTCAAACTTGTAGATGAAATTACCAGAAATATGAAATGGGTAGCAACAAAATTTCCAAAGGAAGGAACTTTATCGAAATTCAGGAGAAAAACTTCAAACTTGAGATGAGTGCAAGCAACAGCGACACAAAGATGACAACTTTCGATTAAAAACTGAAACATCAAGCGAAAACGATTTCTCTTAGAGAATTTCAAAAGGATCAAAGCACTTACTTACCCCAAAAATATATATAGGAAGTGTAAAAAAAAAACCCAGCTGCAATTCAATCTCTTGACTCTTCAGTTTCAGCTATCAATGGAGGAGTAACACAGAGACACACAGACAACATTCTCTTCTCTCTCTCTTTCGTCTACACTGCGTGACAAGAGAATGATTAGTGTGATTGGCGCATACAGTAAAATATTCGATTTTTTATAATTTTTCTAACCTTTTTTTGTCAATATCGTTTGGACTCTTCTTTATCTTGGTGTCATTTTGTAATTAAATAGTAGAGATTTACCAGAACCTGTTTAACGAAATTTATGGAAAATTTTGTATCTTTATATATGGTTTAGTGTTTAGTGAAAGAAAAAAAAAAGGATTTTATGTGTCGGCAATATGATAGGATTTAAATATGAAAGACTGGTATGCAGAGAGGCAATGTGAATAATGTCTCTCTCTCACAGCTCAAAATATTCAACGTACGACAAATGTGTCCACATTAAATACAGTAATTTCAATAGTTAATAATGTCTTAGATATCTTTGTTTAATTTAATTTCGACAATGATTTATTTTAGAAAATTGTATTTGTTGTTTAGTCTAATATGATAAACTATATCAAGAAAATTGTATTTTAGCATTTTACATGTAATTCTTTCATATATATAGCGTGTGTCACACCTTCTCATTTATTAGTCTGAAGTTAGCAATAAGTTGGGCATGTTATGTTTTAAGAAATGTTAGGCATGCATGTATTCAATTGTTGTTCTATATACAAACTTATCACCTATAACTACTTTTCCAATAAATAAATATTTACACTTCTCACTTTCTAAAAAGAGACATGTTGACGAACATTATTGCCCGTGTATTAGGCTATTAGCTTTTTATGTTCCTAATTAATCATATGTATTAGCAAAGGAGTAAGAAATATTTTTTAATGTTTCTTTCTTAGCTAATAAAAAAAAATTGTTGCAGAGAGAAGATCTCACTGAACAATGATAAACGAACAATTATAGCCGTTGACAAATGAACTATTTATGCGAGGATCGGTGAGATAGATATAGTTTTGGACCTGGATAAGATGTTATCATCGATATAGTAATGATGTTTAGTGAAATTATTAAAGATTTCAGCAATAGAAAATTAGGGGTTTCAGAAGGACGATTGATCTTTTTCGGAAGATGAGTGCATTTGAAAAAGAAAAGAAAAAAAGGATTTTAATCACAAACTTTAGTAAGAGATAAATAGAAGAGAGATATTCCTCCAATATAAAGTCCTATTTAAATAAAAATTATTTTTCTATAATTACATAAATCCTCATAATTGAGATATCAATATTTAATAGATATAAGAGAAATTGTTAAAAATGCCCCTTTTTCAATACCCCTTTTCAAAAATGCCCCCTTTGAGAGTCCATTTTTAAGTTTGCCCTCTTTTAATTTTTAATGACCATTTTACCCTTATTTGAAACAAAATTAGGTCCACAAAATACAAAATATTTTTTGGCGGGAAAAGTGATCCCGCAATTTTCCCGCCAAAACACTTGTAAAAAACCTTTAAAATACCTTGTAAAATTTTCCCGTAAAATTTTTTCCCGCCAAAAAATTTTCCCGCCAAAAAAATTTTTTTGCGGGAAAAGTGATTCCGCAATTTTTTTGGCGGGAAAATTTTTGGCGGGAAAAATTTACAAGGTATTTTAAAGGTTTTACAGAGTATTTACAAGTGTTTTGTAAGGTTTTACAATGTATTTTAAAAGGTTTTACAAGGTACTTATAAGGTTTTATAAGGTATTTATAACTTGTAAAACCTTATAAAAAACTTGTAAAACCTTATAACTTGTAAAAACCTTATAAAATAGCTTGTAAAATCTTATAATATCTTATAAATACCTTGTAAATACGTTGTAAAACCTTTTAAAATACATTGTAAAACCTTATAAATACCTTGTAAAAAACCTTTAAAATACCTTGTAAATTTTTGGCGGGAAAAATTTTCCCGCCAAAAATTTAACGCCAAAAAAATTGCGGAATCACTTTTCCCGCAAAAAAAATTTTTTGGCGGGAAAATTTTTTGGCGGGAAAAAATTTTACGGGAAAATTTTACAAGGTATTTTAAAGGTTTTTTACAAGTGTTTTGGCGGGAAAAATTGCGGGATCACTTTTCCCGCCAAAATATTTTGTATTTTGTGGACCTAATTTTGTTATATTTCCTTATATATTTGTGATATATTTTATTAAAAGAAGGGTAATTTAGTCATTTTGTACATAAAAAGGAGTATTTTTAAAAATGGACAGCCAAAGGGGGTATTTTTGAAAAGGGGTATTGAAAAAGGGGCATTTTTGTGAGTCTCCCTAGATATAATTAGTAAAACTAAAACCAAGATTGTATAATTAGGTATGGAGAAATGTCGTTGTTATAAGGGTGGCATTATTGTGTCCTTCTCATCCCGGTGAATTTTATAACAACATTAAACCACAATTTAAACAACCTTCGTATTTCTATCCGAAAATGTACAATTGTTAGGATGGTTTAATCAATTCATGTATAAATACCATGTGTAACATGCCATTATTTTAGCTATGTGAAATAAATCGATATGGTTACATTATTACGAATGTGATGCTTACCAATGGTTTAAGATATCAATCAATTACTCCTAATCTAAAATTCAAGGCGAGAAGTCCCAATAATAAACGTGTGTTTTCATATACGCAACGCGAACGTCACTCTTTTGTGTTTGTAATGGATTGAGCTATAGAACTTTTCATACCCTTCTTAGCCAATAGCCAAAGAAGAAGAATTGCGTGGGCTTTATGATAACCATTAATATGGGCCGAGCACGCTTATTGGGCCATACCCACTGCCATTGGAACTGTGCAACTTTAACTTCATTAATGAGTGGTTTCGGTCTGACCAAAACAAACCAGAACTGTACTGAAATTTTTGTCTTGAAAACCATGTCAAAATTTGAGTAAAGTTAGAGGTTTTAGAGAATTGTTCTATCTATTATCGATGTATTACACATAATACAAGATATATATAGGAATATAATATTAGAGATTAAGTTAGACACATGGCCGTCTCTATTGGTAGGCAAAGTAGGCAAATATTATGGGTCTATAATCAATTTTTTTTAAAAAAAATAAGGTTAAAGGGCCCAATATTATTTTATTTTGTCAACCGCCCAATTTTTTAAAAAACAAAATTTTACTAATAGATTTTTGTTTTTAATTTTCCGAAATTTGAATGTGAAGGGGGATAAACTGGCACGAACTATTCGTACCCTACCGCATTTTTCTACTTATGTAAACAATATTCCACCACATTGGTTCATTTAAGCCGATCCAATAAAGTGTTGACAAAAAAAAAACAAAAAAAAAAAAACAAGGACCCTATAATGAACCTTTTAATGGGATCTATAATGAACATTCATACAACAATCCAATTATTCATAACATAACTAGTTTTATTTGTAACAATTAAATTTTCAATTTTTTTCTTTCCTGTTTGATTGCAATTCAGTTTGTTGCCTAATGTAACCGAATCAACCTGCATTATTATTACGTGGGATATACAAAGTTTATGGATTTAAACATAGTGAATATTCATGGATTTGACAAACACTATCAAAAAAGTTATCCAAAATATTATAACGTTAATGCGAATGATAATTAAAGACGAAAAAGTAAAAAATCAAGATTTAAGACGAGATGAGTCACTTCTACTTCAATCTTAATTTACATAAAAGGATTTGTTCTTTCCTGAATCTTCATCATCTTTAAAACTATTTTGATCAAATACTACAAACCATAGAGCTCTTCGGTTTCTAGGCTTGTCTAGGATTACTAAATCATAGTTTTCAGTACATGTCGTTCCCCTGAACCTGCAATAACACGAAATCAAGAAACATAAGCTCTAATCTCAATGAATGTTTTCTTGTGAAACAAGTAATCTTTCTGGACTCACATCAACATGTCTACCGTAGTTGGTATTAGTCATAACGGTACTAGTAGATCCGCATTCGCTCTCCATAAGCGATATATTAGATCTATCGAGCTTAATCGCCATCCACGGATAATACTGATGATGATGTTGTTGACTTTCCTTGGCTGTGTTTGACCCTAGTTGAGATGAAGATCTCTGCATCCGTACAGCTCTCGGGACACCGTTGTTCCTCGGTGCTTCCATCGAAGATCTTCTCCTCCCACTCATCTGTTTCTCATAGATCTCAGGAGGTCTCTGCTTCGGCGCACTTTGAGACCGAGCCTTGGCTTTAGAAGACTGAGTATTAGCCATGTAGTTTGGGAAGAGAGGGTAATCATAAGAAGACAAAGTATCTCCATTGTAATACTCTTTGAATCTGCTGAAACATTGAGGACTACTTTGAGCTGTGTTGAAAGAGTTACAATCCTCGAAATGGCTACTATACGCGCGAGGACTCATCTCGGTTAAAGCCGAAGGAGCCGGAGAGTACATTTTCGATTGAATGTCCATTTCCACAATCTTGATGTTTTCTTCATTCTCCTGCAAAAACAGAGGATTTTAAAAGTTAGGTCAAATTTGAGGATTTGTTGTCATTTGGATTTTGAGATCTGGGTTTTGTAGATCCATTACTTGGTAAAAGTTATTGATTCGGGTTTTGTGAATCGATGTTCTTGGATTTGTTGAATCTCCTCCGATCATACGAATCCTCTGTTCTCGAGCTTTGGCTTGAAGTGTTATTAATGCTTGCATACATCTAAGTGTAGCTGTTGCTTGTTTCCTTACTAAATGACCTCTCACTAGTGCTTGTAATTTCACTAACCCTTTTAATGCTCTTAATGCTTTCCTCGCCTGCCACAAAAATTTTAAAAATTTAATTTCACTAATTGAAAGCCAAACAAAGAGAAATTGATTCGTTGGAATTTTTGTAAATATTACCAAATGAGAACGATAACACGCTTGAATCTTTATTGCTGCAAATTCTTCAATCTCGTCGGCTGAAACGTTCTTGATTTGTTCATTTTCATTGTCCACGATTGCGACCACTAATGGTTGTGGTGGAGGTGGAGGTGGAGGTGGTGGTGGCGGTGGCGGTGAATCTTTTAAGGTAATAGCACAAGCTGGTGGTGGTCCAGTGGCTGAAGAACGTCGAAAACTCCATCGACGTTTCTCTTTAGGAGTGCCTGGAATGGAGGAAGTGAATCCACACTCGCTTTGAATAATATGTTCCTTTGTTCTCTCTTTCTTTCCGGTTAAGAGACTTCGAATCCATTTGCTTGTTTTCCCCATTATTATCTTCTGAAAACTCAAACCATTATTGTGTAATGTCAGAGAAGAAGAGATTGTAATGTGTGAGTGTGTGTTTGGTTTCGAGAGGTTATAATGGGACAGACATTTTCTTGTTTAAGACATTGTACTCCAAACTCTTTAACTGCTTCTCTTTTTGGACAGCCTAACACCATAAGTTCTTTAACTACCCATCACTCAATAATATTTAATTTCCTTTTTTTGTACCCCCCTTTTTGGTTGAATTTTAGTGAAATTATTTTGGAATGTAAAAACTCTATTAAATATGTCTCTATGTTAACAAAAATTCTTTTTGAGCTCTGGTCTCTCTATATGTAAATATCAAAAAAAAAAGCCACCATAGTACATAAATCAATGTAAATTTAGTCGGTTGATTATATTGATATGTACTTTTATGTATTTATTAATTATGAAGATATGTACTTTTATATATTTATTGCAAGTTTAGTATAATATGTTTTGGAGCTAGGATGACTTAATAATTAGGGAGAATAAGAAGCAGAGCGGAAGCTCCATGGCCACGATTTATCCACTCGAAGGCCAACTACACAATCTCAATAAAGAAGATTAGATCGGATTAGATTCCTTGCCTTCTTCGTTGGATATCACAAAATACTAAAGTACCCTCTTATGCAACTCATATATATCCTTCGAGTTTACTCAAATAAGAGATATATAAGTAGACTAAACAATATATTTTTTCCGTACAACGATATATTACACAATCAAGTGGCATTAGTCCATGTTTTCGTTCTATTGTTTAAAGCCGAATAGATAAGTTTTACATTCCATTTTATGTATTACTACTGTAATATGAATGTGATCGACTGTTGCAAAAGTCATATTATCTAAAGATAAATGATATCATACTTATAATTCCATCACTATATAGTAAAGATCTTGTATGGTTTACAACGAAATGCATGATGATTAACTGTGATTAATATAATATATAGCAATGATCTTATATGGTTTACGTTTCACGTAAAAGTTTTGGATTATAAGTGCATTAACATCTTTAAGTGTTTTTGGTTAACAATGTTATGGATGGTTTAGAGTTTGAATTTGCATACAAATGTAGCTCCGAATCACAGCTACTCCACTTGTGTGTGTGTGTGTGTGTGTGTGTGTGTGTGTGTGATTGATATCTAAATAAGATAGTTAAGTTGGTTGAGATAGATGGAATTAACTTTCTCTTCAACACTTAATTATGTAGGATGACGACGTGTTTGATAAACCTAGCTAGATAGCTACGTAACATAATGAGATATTGATACATTACTGCTCAATGCTCATCCAAAAGAAATTGACACCTAGAGTTTTGGACTTGGACTTAGCAAGGGGTAAATAAGTCATTAGATAGTGAGATTTGTGATGGGTGAGCCATGTGAAAAAAGGGTAAAAGAACATGCAGAATCCGTGTGAAATAATTTATCATTATCATAACTTGCATTTTTTATATAAGGGACGTTCTGCGTTCATGGATTTTAGCATGAGAATGAGACATATATTACCATAAACATATAATAGATTATATCTTATATCAACATTTGGAATAATAAAAACACGGTTGGTTTTATTGGCCCACACTGAAATGTATGAGAAAATGATGTTAGTGGTTTAAGTCTGTGGTCAGTCGAATGAGACCATTCAAGAGATATATACATCACATTTTATCCATCAAGAAGTATATATAATCCAGTAATGTAATAAATAAATTAAAATTAGTAATCAGAGCTGGTTAACCGAAAATTTAGCTAGTTTTGGTTTACAATTGTCCTGCATGTGAATTAGGCATTAGTCAATCGCGGGCGTATAAATTCGATGGATATGTAAGTACATATAACCTTTTCATGTTTTTTTCCTTCTATGCAGAAATAGAAATCTTATAGGAATTGTTATCATATATTTAAATTTTTAAGAAACTAGTCTATTTTCAGTAAGTGACGCTTAATAATAAAATTGGTATACTTATCTTTTATGTCTTCATAGCATTAAAGAATCATTCCAAAGTATTTATTTTCTTGGTCGGAGGACCCCCTGAAAATGTAGGACACGTTTTGATACTAATTAGACCCTATGCGAATTTATTTTTTGATTATTTGTTTCCCATAAATCCATAAATGATAATTAGATATGATGCATATGTGATAGGTCTAAATTCAATTGTTAAGCTTTTGAAGACAATGATAGATGCTTCTAGACAATTTGGGTTTAAATGTTTAATAGACAGTTGGTGTAGTCGACAAATTTTCTTAAATGTGCTTATTATTATATAGGAAATTTAGCTACCAAAATAAATATGAATTAGTTGAAATCAAGTTTAAAACAATCAGAAATGGTCCATACGTAATGAATTAGGTTTTTGTGGTGTTAGCTCAACCAATACAATGTCTCATTCATACCTTGTAGAAATGATATCTTAAACCAAAAAATAAAATAAGGAATTAAATAGTTATATTAGTATACAAAAGTTCTGAATAAATAAGCGAATCGAATCGACCAAAATGATTGGGTAAAACGGATCGAACGAAATGCATACGGATCAAGATCGTATGGATGAAATTCTGTTTTTATTTTTGAGTTAAATACTTGTATTGGATTATCAAAGGAAAAGGTGTTGGAAATATGGTATGTATATATAGGCGATGGCCTAGCCTTAGAAGTGAATTAATCTCATTAGGTACTGTCATGCCATTGTCATAGGGGAATTTACAAATGAAACAAAACAAAAAAGTTGCATTTTTGTTTTAAGCACACTGAAAATTATTATTTTCAACTAGCCTATTGGTTTTTAGCTAGTGAAATGGTCAATTGGTCCTTGCAACAAAACAAAACATCCCCGGAATATGTTTTAACTCACCAAATATATAATATTTCATTTACAAACTCAATGTTTAATCTTTTCTTTTTCTTAGGTGATCAGGTTTTAATTCCATATAGATTTTTTATTTTCCGTAACAGATCCATAGACTATATAAGTAAAAGGCACCAGAAAACATCTATTTACTACTTCCTCCGTTTTAAATTAGTTATCGTTTAAAGTTTTTTTCACGAGTATTAAGAAAACATTCAATTTTTCTGTTTTACCCCTAATTAATGTATTGTTTTATTTGACATTGTTAATAAATAAGCTTATAGAATATGGATAAAATTGGAAAATCTGTCAAACATCTTCATTGAAAACAGAAAACGACAACTAATTTAAAACGGATGAAGTAGTTTTTTTAATCAGAAGTATAAACTAGTTTATAACCTATGAATCATATCAAACTTAAATATGATAAGAATGTCTTGAGATGCTAAATAATTATATAAATCAAATTGCATCAAACAAACATAGATATAATTAAGTTGTTGAATCACAAAGCCAATCATCATAGAAGATTGCTGCCCCTCGCACTGTCATTGACGATTAACAAGTGGTTAGTGCATGAATTAGAACTTTGTTCCAACTATATACATGGGGATTTGTCACCACTCCTTAACATGCATTAATAGTTAACCATAAAATTCCTTAGTTAGACAAATATATTAATATTCATATGAACAGTAGCATGATAATACATGTCGGTGTCTGTGTATGAAGCTGGCAATCACATGGCATGTTTTTTTTTTTTTTTTTTTTTTTTTTTTTTTTTTGATAATAATCACATGGCATGTTACTATACGTTGACTAGCTTACTCCATTATGGTTTCATCGATCTATCCAAACCATTACTATGATGTTTGTTACTTTGTTGATTTCTTTTCTTATTTATTCCCGGCGGCCGGCAACAAATACGGCGCCGTTTGCCGATTCATTTTCATTCTGATTTCTTCTAATCATCCTTGGAATAAGAGTCTTATATGTCGTACAATTTAGATCTCAATATTTTATTCTTTTGGTCAAGAATTTGCCGATTTATACTTAACGTATGATATGACACTTTCTCGAGGAAGTAAACTAGAGGTGGAATGCACTCGTTTAAATTTTTATTCTGCAAGTTTAGATCCTCCTCCATGGCTTGTAAACATTTTGTATGCTGATTGTTCAAATTAATATAATTTATTTCGACGAAAAAAAAAAAAAAAAACTAGAGGTGGAATGCTAGAGAATACGACAATTAATGGACTAATCAAATAATGATAGTTCACTCGCTTGTACCGTTTAATTAGTCGAAATAACATAAAATAAAATTGTTTTCTTTTTCTATAAAAGACTTTTTTTGCTCTCTTTTGCGTGTTATTAGCGCATTTGCAAGGACTTTTTTCCTTTAACTTCAAATTAACTCTTCTTTATTTCGCGACTGAATAAAGTTGTAAAGTTATTACCACATATATTATGAAAATTAACTTCTATCCTATTTTTGATTTTTTAAAATAAAAAACAAATTGGTTTAGGGTTTTATCCAAATGACCAAATCTACAAGTCGGCAAAGACATCGATGTATCAAATACATATACTCCATTAATGAATGTTTTTTTTTTTTGGTCCAAATACTCCATTAATAATTCTAAAAACTACAAAAAACATAAGTGAATATACTCATATGTGGATACAGAAGAAACTTAGGTATGAATGAAACCATGTTTCCATTTACGTGTTAGTATCGAGACACATGCATGGACCACATAACCACTTAATTCCTACGTATTAAATGTTTACTAAAGTGGATGAGCTGTCAAAAATTTTAGAGTTACCATGGTTTATAAATGAAATCTGTAACATATCGTTACACGAAATTCTCGGATCATGTCGCCACTTTCTGCTTACAAAACTTAGCTTCTTCTACTTCTATTTCCGGTTCTTTTGCCAATCTAACTTTCTCAAGAACATATTGAAATTTATCCCAATGTTTCAACATTATTTGATTGACGTAGACACACCATTTTCGAATCTTTTATTTCTGCTGCATCTGGTGATTTGGATATTTTGCATATGTCTTCTTGCGGCTAATTAGCAGTGACTGTTTAGTGGAAGCAGCGCAACAATATCCTACACAATGACTCTTGCATCCCGCCATCTACGGTATTTAAGGAAATCGACAGAGAGATCAAGAACTCCATCACTGCCCGGCGCACTTGTAAGCGTTTCTCTGCACTTATGAGTCTCTGGATCCACTGAACTTTGACACAATCCCAACTTTGTAATCTATTGCTTTCTTGTTTTTAGCTTTTTTGCCAAGAAACCAATTGTCTAGGTTTATCTCCATGTAAAACCAAACTTTTCATTTATATGATATTAACATACTTAGCAAAAAAAGTAGTGTATATTAGTTTATTAATTGCGGAGGAACAGTTAAGGGATGAAGCCCAAGGCCGTGATAGCTATAAGGCCCATTACTAAAGTCAACAAAACCCAATCTCTGTTTAGTGTTTTCGTTTTGGAGAAATAAAAAATAGCAGTAGAGGGAAACATTATAGTAACATGAATAGGAAAATAGCAATAGCTAGCCAGCTAGGCATGACTCATGAGTAGAATGAAAGTTAACCTAGATCAACTTTCTAAGTTCAGTTTTGTGGTTCAATCTAGGAGGTTGAAGAAACTGCAAAATCAAACTTGATTTAGTAAACCAATTTCCGTGAAAAAAATTTTAGTTTATAATATACTAGTTTACGGCCCGCGCTATGCGCGGACAAATCTATATCTACAAAATCAATATCTACAAATCAGTTATTGTAAAAGTGACTGTTGATTTAGTAGATATAGATTTCGGATGACAAACAAAATTTGCAAAATCCTGGAAAATGATAATGAGAAGTTGTTTGTTGCATTATATAACTAACTAAACTTTGACAAAAAAAAAATTACATAACTAACTAATAACTTTTTTTTTGCAGCAACTAACTAATAACTATTCATAAAATAGAAACACTATTTTGCTTTAGAATGGGCGATTGGCGACTGCTCAGCGTGAGTCGTGTTGCATAAACACTATTGAAGTTGTGATATTTATTGCATAAACGTGTTCAATGGGCCGATGACTTGACTTTTTTGCCATTCTATCGGATCAAATGGACGGTGTACTATAAAAATGTTCGCTGGGCCGATGAGCATGTTTGGCATGCTAATTTACGGGATAAAATGCCTAAAAATGCAACTTCTTTAGGTATATATATTTCTAGAAAATAAATATGGGATTCGATACAATAAAAAAATATACTTTATAACTATAAAACTACACAATATACTTTTAATTTTTGTTAGCTTGTTGTTTAAAGTTTCAACACTTTGTTTCTAGTTTTTAAGTATCACATGGAGTTATATTTCTATGAATGATTAAGCTATTGATTTTATTTAGTATATTGAGTATTAAGATTTTTATCCTAGTATTCTAGTTATAAGATTTCCCTATTTTCTTATGTAGAATTTTGTTAAACATAAACAATACCATTTTATTAATCGTTTCCAATACCATTTCCAATATTATATGAGCAGTGTATTTTCAGATGTCAAAACCGTTTCCAATATTATATGAGCAGTGTATTTTCAAGACTAATTTATTGAATATGTTGACCATTAAAAAGCAAAGAAATGAAATTTAAACGCATTAATTGGATCTCAGCGATCAACTAATAACTAACTCAAGAAAATCTGAACGAAGTCGGTCAGTCCACATCACTATTGACATCCGTGTCCACCTTCCACACATACCAAATCCTCAACTAATATATATAACAGAGTCCAAGAACCATCTTTCGTTTTCTTTCTTTATTGTTGTTTCAGATTTGTTTATTTTGTGTGTACTTCATATTAATAGAGAAGAAGACACAGAATCATGGCTTGTCTTAGGAACACACTCTGTCTTGTTGCAGCTTTGCTTCTGATCTACCAGAAGACAGCTACTTGCGATTTCCTCTCTCCTCTTCTTGCTCCTATCTTTGGTATGTCTCTTCCTCTTCCTCACTTTTTCCTGAATTGTTTTTCTCAAATTTGATATTTGTGGAATTAACCATTTAATCCAATATTCTTTATTAATTAAAATTAAATTCCTCTCGTTTTATCATTGATGTATTTAACTTATTAACCAAAAAAAAGAAAAAACAAACAAGGATAATCTAAACACTTTGAATATTATTTAAAATTTAAATAGAACAAAACTTGACTAGATTAACTTGATTCTGTCGAGATTAGGGTTTAACTCCCGCCGGAATTTGAACTAGAGATGCAACTTTTTTCTGTGACAGAATTAAAGTATCTTTATGAGTTGGGTTTTGAGTAAAAGTGATCTTCTTTGAAGGGTCCTTGTCAAATTTCGAATTTTGTATATGGTGTGACTTATTTAAAGTTGGTTGATGTAATTATTGTGGGAAAAAAAACAGATAATATATGCAAGGAAGTGGAATGTGGGAAAGGGAAATGCAAAGCATCTTCAAACACAACTTTTATGTATGAATGTGAGTGTGAAGATGGTTGGAAGCAGTTTGATCATCACCTCAAGTTTCTCCCTTGCATCACCCCCAACTGTAATATCCCTCTCTTGATCACTGGTTTAGATTGGTTTGATCATATAGAAAACATGACAAAGTATACATTGCATCTTTATAGGTACTTTTGACCTAACATGTGGTGAAGCAGCATCTCCAGCACAACCCAAACCGCCTCCCAAAGACAACATTACTTCATTATT